TTTATTAAACTATTTAGACATCGATTTAAAAAAAAATCATCGAAATTGGTCCATTAGAAGCTGAGATAAGTGAAATTTTTCCGAGCGTCCCAGTTTTGAACTCGAGAATTCAGATCGGAGTGTGTTTACTCCCCCCACCACTGATACCACATTTTAAATGGGACACCCGTGATTACAAATTTTGAAAATTTATATCTGGAAAGTACTCGGAATGGCAATCCTATTAGTTCAAAAAAACAGCCCTTATACCCTTATAGTTTTAGTGTAAATAAGGGTTAACTTTAACGGGCTATAACTCTGAAAATAATGGGCGGATCATCAGTTTTTTTTTTAAATACTCGTCTTTCCGAGTACTTTAAAACCATATTTTAAAATAAAAAAAAATGAAAAAATCATTAAATTATTGCAATTGTTTATAAGGGTGAAAATTGCAACAATGTTTAAACAGTCACCACGATTCACCTAATCGTCCGATTTGCATTTTTCAAAAATCATTTTAAAGCTTGACAGCTCTTCTTTCTGTGGTGAAATTTTCAAGTATTCAAAGGTTTTAGATTTTTAAAAATTTGATTTTGAAAATTTTTTAATTTAAAAAATATAAAAAATTTAAACAATTATTATGTAAAAACTATCAAACCGAATTGGATGAATTTTGGTGTGATGATTCTATACACTAAGAAGTTTAATTGGGAAAAGTATGAAGATCCTACGTATTATTCAAGTGTCTGAAAAAAATTGACAAATAAACTAGCATTTTTTGCAATTTTTTAAATGATTATCCGATTTTTGCAATAACAATAATTATTTTTTCGAATTGCAACTAACTCTATCCTGATCAAAATTTAATTACAAAACTTTTTTTCCTCTTCCATTTTCGTCTAAAATGAATAGTTGCTAAGTTGTCGCCGAGAAATCCAAGAAAAAAATGAATTTTTTTGCAATTTTTTTAATACTTTTTTGCATTAAAAATTAAGCCCACGTTTTTTTTATTTGCATAGGAAAATTATCATTTCTGATGTTGTTTAGAAGCCGTTAAAGCAAAAATCTCCAATCATATACGTTTTAATCAAGTATACCCCTTTTAAAACAGATACCGCCCGGTCTAGGTATAGAAGCAAATTAAATTTTTTACTCGAAAAAAGTGTTATCCGCGAGATTATTGTAAAATTGTCGTCTAAAGGACGACTCATCTCGTGATTCAAAAACTTTTATTAGCTAACTTTTCTATTTAAACAAATAAGTGAGGAAAACAGTTTTTTCACCTTGCAGGGAAAACCATCAATTTTAGCGAAAAGTGACTCGCAGACAGCTTGTANTAGCAGTGTAAAACCACACTGTTTACCAATCAATAAATTCGTGAATTAATTCATGAAGAACTTCGTCAATTTATTCATCAATAAATTGTCAATGTAAAACAGCTATAACAGTTTGCGCGATGATATCGACAGGCAAAGGACACGACACACGAACTGCCCCGTGGGTTACGTAAGAATCCGAATCCTAATGACGTATTTAAAATAACGAAGTCCAGAGAGTCTGAAATATAGACTTTTTTCATCTCATTTTCTTAGTGTCAGATGGAAGATTAATACCGAACCAGAAAATTACATTCCTCCGGAACCGCCCTGGGAAAAGGGTTCTTGGAATAATATTTCTTCGACGTTGTCCCATCCCGGAGCCAAATTTTTACAGTGATATATGATGACAAAGCGTCCTCCGTAATGCGCTGTAAGGGAGTTCCATGAACTTACTTTAAAGTTTCCGAGGGGAAATGGGTCACGGATTACACGATTTACAGGGGCACGGAAAGGGAGTCGGTAAAAAACTTTTCGAATAAATTCGAAACTGGACACAGCCGGTTGCGGGTGCGTTATTTGCGTTTGTGCCTACAGAGAACATCAACAAGTATTACCTTCGGAGAACAGTAGAAATGGAGATCTAACGTAGTGTAATAAAATGTAACTTTCATCTTTAATACTCTCGGAATAATAAAAAAATCACAATGTACAGGGTCGGAAAGTCCTCATGGTTCACCGCCTATTTCGCCCTTCCACAAATAAGAAGTGGATCTTATTTGTGGAAGGGCGAAATGGGCGGTGATTATTAGATTCCTTCATTATAGCCATCTTTCTCTATCGCACGGATTTCTATGACTTTCTTTATCTCTCTCACATAACGGCCGATGAACCATGGGAACTTTCCGACCCTGTATATACAATGTTCTCGATGGCACTAAATTACGTCACAATGAAAATATACGCAAATCAAATCTACTTCGGCGTTTTGTGATCAGATGAAATTCGTTTCTTCCTCTATGAAGTGCATTTACTTAAAAAAACGCCAGTTTAATTTACCTTTCAAAGGCAGAATAGCTGCCCGTAATAGTTTGAAACTTGGATGTGGGCCGTTTTATAATTAACTTTACAGGCGGGTCGCCTTTTGTGTTCAGCGAACTAACTTTAATTAACTGAAAACTTACTGAAAAGTTGCAAGCATTCTTACAGTTTTTTTTACGCGAGTCGCAAGGGAGGTTTTGCGTCAAATCACACCTTAAAGTCCAGGTGAATGGGTTTTTTGCACATGAGTTTAAAAATTGATATTAACTTTCATTATTCTTGTCCGAATTGGGAATTACCAGTAAAATATTGCCAGCATCTACTGACCAGCGCCAAATGAACAATACTTCGAAATTCTGACTCGCTTTTCTTTCTTTTTGTACACGAGAGGCAGTGCACACGCTGAACATATCGGAACACTATGCGAAATGAACCGCACATTACAATTTTCGTGCGGAGAATACACAAAATACGTTTTATCAAATTAAAAAATAGTATGAATTGCGGTTTGATATTATTTACGACTATTGCCTACTATTTAGAAACTGGAGTACATTTAATAAAGCTTTTGGAAAGTTTGAACAGACTCACCCCTCGAACAGCGGATGGTAATGCGACAATCCGTGTTTCAGCTGTACATAAACCTCGGAACAGAAATCAACGAACGAGGCGTCGTACTCGTCCGACGCCATAACCGACGCCCTCAGCGCCGAGAACCATTCCGGGGTGCCTTTCCTTAGCGTCGCCACTATTTCCCCCCGGATCTCCTTGTTGAATGGGCAACACTTCCAGAATGCTTTCTGAAACAAATTCAATTAAATAGTTTTACACGTACAAGTCCCACCACTACGAGTTTCTTCCTCAGTTCATTGGTACATTTATTTTCAATTTTCTCTATTTGAAATCAGGTAGTGTATAAATAAAAATAATAAAGGTAATTGATAATTACCATATTAGACATGTACGCCAAGCATCTGAGGACGTATTCCAGTCTGGTCAGAGATGGAGGGTGAAGGGCGGGAAATAGTTGGCGGTGGTGTCGCAACTGTTGCAGCCATCTTTCTGCAACGCAAAAGTACGGCTCATCTTCGGGCAAACTTTGCACAATTGTTTAATTATTAAACGTTAATTTTAGAAGTTAATATCGTAGAAATAGATTCTAATTAATCCAAAGAAACGTATCGAAAAAGAGAAATTTCAAAAAGTTGAAATTAAGTTGGACTTTACACCTAACAAAGTAGGATGTGCAAAACAGCGTTATAAACAAATTGTCCCAGGGTCAGGCAAAAGCCGCTCGGGAATTCACTCTTTTGGTAAAAAAGAGAAATTACCTACGCCTGTTTGTTCCCAAGATTGCACATTCATTGCGCAGAATTTCCTTAGTCGTGTAAACCGCAATGTTTTACTTGACCTTGTTCAATCTGTATTAAAATGTGTGGTGTTACAGGTTCAGGCACTGCATTTAAAAAAAATTCTAATACCTTGCATCGCCGTGAACTTCTCCGCCAACCACATCTCCTCCTCCCTAGTCAGGGTGAAATTCATCTAGGCGTTTTCGATGTCGGTTAGCAGCTGAAGCATCCACCGCGGATCTAGGGGGTACTTCAGATAGATACGGGCGGCGGCCACGAACCGCGCCAGTGCCGTCTGGAGCTCTGTCAAGTCTCCTGAAACACACGTCTGTTGGTCTAAAGCGGTTCACTCGACGTCGCTTCACTTGAGGTGTACGTGTTTCATAATTAATTTGCCAAACTTAAAAATTTGAATACGTATACCAGCCAGCTTGTAAATATTATAAATGTAGATTCTACTTGACCTGAACATGTGTAAAGCAAGGAAATACAAATTTTATTAACACACCAGGAAAATTAGCGAAAATAAAAGAGAAACTCGAAAAAAGTCCTTTCCGCGAGATTATTGTAAAATTGTCGTCTAAAGGAACATAATACAAGACATCTCTCATCTCGTGATTCAAAAACTTTTATTAGCAAACTTTTCTATTTAAACAAAAAAGTGAGGAAAATAGTTTTTTCACGAATGTATAAATCATTACCATTAAAAATACTTTACAGCACTACACTTTGTCTAAACTAACAGATAAAGAGGTCTTTTTTAAATATGCAACAATTTATTTTTTATTGTTTTTGATAATTCTTCAAAATATGCCAATAATATTATCACTGGTATCCAGCCGTCTGCCAATATAATTCATTATAATTATTGTTTATATCACAAGAGGCATAACGTTAAATATATAAGCCAGGTTATCGAAAGTAAATGAAGGTGGTATTGTGGCCTAAAGCGTTACGCGTTGTCCTACTAATCTGAAGGTTCGGGGTTCGATCCCTGATGAGGTCTGGTTTTTTTTCAATTAATATAATATTTCGAATGTAATTTTCTATCGTCCACATTTCAAGACAAATATTTCTGCACCAGTTGCT